CCCCAAAACCCCAAAACCCCAAAACCCCAAAACCCCATTTTGGATATAATATATTGAATTTTAAGATGAAATCTACGTTTTTAGTCTGCCTCATGTTGTGATTACAGTGAGTTTATAGTAGCAAGCTGCTGATAGACGCTCTTACAGAGATGAACGAGTTCTTAGCATACCAACAGAGCACTCAAGATAAAGAGGAACTAGAGAGGATAACTGTGGAGTTTGAAGATACGCTAAAGTTTTATCAGTCTGATACAGTTGATGGACATCTTTTAGAAATGGTTCAGGCTCTTTTTGCAGGTGATTTTAATACAACTGCAGAGATGTTTGAAACAATACCAGTTGGAGAAGATAGTAACCTTGAATCCTTTAGATATTTCACTCATTTCTTGGGTGAGATCATTGAAGGAATTCCTGAAGTTTATGATACTCCAAATATATCATTAGAAGACCTCGCTTTCAACTCAAAAAAGGATAAAGACCTCAAAACTTTCAAATAAACTTGATTACCTCTCTCTAATGACCTTCTGGATGTCAAACACCCCAAGAACAAACAAACACATGTAACTTCCCATCCTCTTACCCCATAGCTCCCCTCCAGACCTCACTGGTACCCCTTCCCTCACCTTCTAGAGGCCCTAAAAGCCCTCGAATCCACTTACCTCACCTACCTCACCACTCTCACCCCCAATTCCCCACCTTCCTCCCTCAACTTCTCCACCCAGACTCCTCCCAGCTGCACTGAGTCCCTTCACAAGTACCTGAACCTCGCCAAGACTTGTCGTGATTACTTCTACACCACCTCCCCTAACGCAGTGCATCATTTCACTAACATCGGTGCGTTCAGTGCCCAAACAGTTAGTCTAACAGGTAAGACAGGGTTAAATTTTAGCTGAGAAAATGTTCAAGAATTCTGAGAAACTTGTTGGTAAGCCCATGCGGTGTTTAGGGTGGCAAGGTTGATCCTTTTAATAGACACTTTCAGGATTTTGGAACTTGAAGACTATGATCTTGATATGGTCGGGTTTACAATGACCAAAGATTTTAATAATAGTGCGGAGATATTTAAGAAGTTCCAGGAGGAGAAGTCTAAGAGGCTAACCGCAAGACGTCAAAGAGACTTTAATGGTACAGAGACTGTTACTGAGCAAGATATCAACATTGCTGCTAGTGTTGATTTGGGTGGTATGTTGTTTTTCTAGCGTTTAGATCAAGAAAACCAAAAGATTAGTTATTATAAGCAGATGGCGAAGCACTCGAAACACTCTGAATATCACATTATCCTTGGTAATCTGTATCTTTTAGGAGATATTGCTAAGGGCATTAAACCAAGTAAGAATCTAGGTAACCTGTAGACCGAGAGTTGAGTATCTTGTATTTTGAAGAAGCTGCAAAACGTGGAAGTAATGTAGCTCATTACAATCTTGGTCTTCTCCTCCAACCAGAGCAACCATGGAGGGCATTTTCACACTTCAAAGCTTGAGCAGATGACAATTTCACAACTTGTGATCTTGCTCTTGGGACTATGTATTATCAACCAGAGAGATTCGGTATGTTCTACCCAATTCATATCTCACATCTTTAGGATTTGAAAAGAACGTAACACTTGCTATTGAGCATCTTGAGAAAGCCCAAGAAGGAGAGTTTTACGAAGCTAGCTCAATTCTAGCCCATATCTATCTCAAAGAGCCTGGCTTTATTGACAAGGAGAAGGCATATAAGAGCCTAGACCATGCTTTGAATGATAATTGGAACATGAATGCAAAGTTAATGATGGCTGCTTACTATTACGAGAACTCCTTCAAGGAGTTCTCTTTAGAAAAATGAGACAAGGTTAATGAGCTCCTAAGAAAATTAATCACTTTGAATGAGGGAGAAAGATGGTCAAATTTAGCATTCCAAGTGTATTATTCAAGCGATTTTGCTAAGAAATATCCAACTGACCAGAAGATTCTGTGTAAGATTTTTTAGATAATCTCTAGGGAAGGAAGAGAATGCACTGCTTCTGTTTTCTTATGCTTCATTGCTTGGCCACCAAGGTTCATCTTACATTGCAGCTAGTAAGATTTTTGAGAGATTTTATAGAAATTTGGGAGAACTCTGAGCTATCTTTTAAATGCAAATTTGGAAATAGAATGATCTGAGCAAGCTATTTTTATCTCAGATTTTACTACAGCTATCCAGATCATTCCTTAATGGCAGTCAAAGCAGCAGATTTGCTCATGAAGCTTGATGAGTTTAGCCACCTTGAAGGAGATAAGGTAAATTTATTTCATAATAATTAGGAAGCAACATCACAGATGGTTCATCTAAGCGAGAAGATGGCATTTAAAATCTACGAAGTGCTCAGTGACAAACAGCCAAAGGCAAAATTTAGTCTAGCATATTGCTGTAAGTCTGATAAAACAAAACATAGACTACACTGGGAAAGGTATTGAAATGAACCAAACAAAGGCAAATGGTAAGTATCTCCTCTAAATCTAGATTTATGGAACTCTCTAGCCTCTGAAGCCTGGAACAGTAAGATTGATATTACCAACATATTCCCTGCTCTGTTCGCCAGGTACTACTTTGACTTAAAAGAATGGCTATTTAGTTAAGTTTCTAAATTCAATATTTTACCTTGGCTTGGGGTTTTGGGGTTTTGGGGTTTTGGGGTTTTGGGG